CAAACTATATTTAGACTGTTTGCTCAAGTCACCTGTGCCAAAAAGAAACAATTACATTATTTTCAATTACCACTGCCATTGCCTGAATTGGAATTTGCGACAGTAAATGTAAGGCTAGATGTTTCTATCCAGTCCTCTGGAAATGCTTCTACTGAAAATCACTTACTAAGAAAACAGAACTGGAGTTTATGGGCATTTTTGGTTGGGGTTTTTTTATGTTAATATTCCACAAGATATGCATTTCATTTATAACATTTAAACTACAAACAAATTTTAAATTAATTTGTTTTCCAACACAGTTCTTCTTCTGTAATTTTATTGTGCTCTCATTTTTTATGTATTTTTCTCTTAAAATACAAACATAAAACCAAGCCAAGTAGTACTGGTTGAAGTTATTCTTGTTCCTCTAAGATGACAATCCTTAAAAAACCCACATGCTATGCAAAACAATACCTTCAGCACACACCATAACCCCCAAATAGTTCAGCTATTGACTCTACTGTGCTATACAGCCATCTTCTGAATGTCAAGGCATGATGTATAAAAAAAGTACTTCAAAACAAATGCTCATTTAAATCTTGCCACTTGTTTCTTTTCGTAGAGAGCAAAACTAAAACCACACAGCAATGATAACTCCTTCTCTACACAGCTGGGGATTCAACATTTTGCAGGCTGCAGAAACCAAAGCAGCAGCAAATGCCAGGGTCCCACTGCTTCTGAACAGGGCAGGGGGTCCACAGCCCCCTTCACACTCTACTTGATACCACAGACGGATGTAAATTCAGCACCTATTTTGGTATCATCTCAAGACTCAGACTCTGTTGTGCTCAGTGTCAGACAGGGAGACAAATAAACCAGCAATCCATGCTTTCCAAGGATTGCAGTTTTTAACTGAAGTACAGACAGATGATGCCTTAGGGATCAGAATAAGCAAACAAATTCAGATACCTGTTTTGATACCAGTCTTATCTGTGTGATTACATGAACTGATGAAGATCGCTTACATCTATTTAGCATCTATTTACTTATGCTGCACACTGCCTAGATCAGTCCAATTTCTGCCACCCTTTAAGTATCTTCAAGATCTGTCTTTCCCTTTGGAGGCTGTCAAGGATCTTGCCTTCATCTGAGGCCTACCCTAAACCTATTAAAATAAACCAGTGTCAAAAGAGTGCCCAAAATATTTAATTTGCACATCATCACTTCTGCTGCTGCCTTAATTGCATCAGAACAACTTTCACAGTCCTAATCTTACAGTTTAGCTCTTCTGTACCTATATATCTCATCTGGCTTTAGGCCATGATCTGACACTTCTTTAAATCACTGATAACTTGCTTGTCTTCCACAGATGCAAGCCTTCAGAAGTTATCCATGTCTTTCTATTATTTCCATCTTGTCCCTTACAAGCACGATGTGCTCTCTAAAGTAACATACAAATTTTTTGCCTCTCACTCAGACACTGAACTGGCAGCTGGGCAGATGATAGAGTAAGATTTTTCCCATTCAGAGAAATAAAAATACGGACAGAGAAAAACAAAATACGCAGTTGGCTTAATATTATTAGATAACTACAGTATCTTAGAAACCCCAAAGGAAGATGGAGGCTCCGTTTTGCCATGAGCCACTGGTGAGGGCAATAGACCTTGGCAAAGATCTTACAACATCATGGCTGGGCTTCGCGAACGAAGATTTAGGAAGGCACTATCCACGTTTGGTACAGGCACGCTGGTGACTTATGAGGCCAACACGAGATCCTGCATGCAGGGTTGGGTCTGCGGCTCCCAGTGCACCTTTCACCTGCCGTGTCGACCCTCGCCCGTCACTACAGGACTTTTTGCATGTGGGTAAAGCCTTCAAGCCTGCGCAATGGATTTTTTAGGTGAGATGCAGTATGCGTGGAACTGAACCCACCCTTTAATCCTAAGGTTCATCTGCCGGGGCCGAGCGAGCTTGGACGGTGGCAGTGAGGTCCTCAGGATGCAGGTTTGATTAGAGTGACCTTCTCTTAGATGGATGGCCTTACAGGGCTAAGCGAGCTCCATCTATCTTACAACATGGGATATTAGGAAATCACATCTAATGTCATTAATATTAGCAATGGAGTACAAAAACACCTCCCAAGAGCTCCAGCTCACCTCTCTATCACCCAGACATACCTGGTGAGCTGGAGACAGGGCCACCAGCTTGTCAGTGTTTCATGCCCTCAGCCAAACAGGCCCACTGAAGTGCTCTGGTTTCCTCAGATGGAACAGGTGAAGGGATTGTTTTAGGGTTTGTATGTCAGGGGTTTAGTACAAACTTGCGAGAAAACAAAATGCTTTCCCATGTCCTCATTTCTCTTTCGGCCATTAGCTTGAAATGGCATGTGTACCAGAAGATAGAAGCAAGTATTTTAAGCACTAAAAATCATATACTTCTGCAAGCAATATGGTTCATACTATGCACCTAGGACACAATATTTAAGACCTTCAACTGATCAGTGCATAGCAAAAAAATAATCTATGCATTCCTACTGTCAGAATAGTGTAAGATCTAAATGTCAGTTTGTTTTTTCACTTGAAGGAAAAAAACATGGTCTGATAGACTGTATTAAGAAAACAATTTTTTGTAGTGGATGCCCTATCTTCTATATATTTTTCTGCAATTTTCAGATTTGTATTTGAAGATGAAATGTTTCTTCTCATTATTAAACTAAAAGAAAACCCCTAAACAGAAAATAACATACTCTATTTTTTCAACAGTCCCCAGGAACCAGATTCTGACTGCTACACTTGGTGTAAAATGCAAAGTCCTACACTTGGGACAGAGTTATCCCTTGAAACAGAGCAGGCTCTTGATTGAATGACCAAAGAGCTTGGAGAGATGGACAGTAAGTTGAAGAGAAGTCAGCAGTGCACCCTTGCAGTGATGACAACTAACAAATAACAGGCTCTATTGGCAGGAGCATGGCCAGCAGGTTAAGAAAACCGATGACTTCCCTCTATTTAGCACTTATGAGATCACATTTGAGGAAGTGTGTTCAGTCTTGGGCCCCCTTCAGTACAAGGCACAGTAGAGCAGGTCAAGCAGAAGGCCATTAAGATGGTTAGAGGGACAGAACTCCAGCTAGTACAAGGAAGGGCAAAGGGAGCTGGGTGTATTTGGCCTGGAGAAGGGGGGAATTCAATTGTTGTTTTCAGCTAACAAGTGGGGGTTATGAGATGAAGCCAGACTCTTCAAGGTGGTGTGCAAAGGACAAGAGGCGCATTTTGCAGCAGGGGGAAGTCCTACAAGGCACAAAGGGGAAAAGGAAAAAAAAGAATTTCAAGTGAGGGCAATCAAGCCCTGGAAAAGGCTGCCATAGTTGTGGGATTTCTATCCTGGAAGATGTTCATGGCGTAGCACAACCTGTCTGACTCCAGAAACTACACTAAGAGACCTCCAGAGATCCTTTTCAATCTAGATAATCCTTCAATTCAATGTAGCATCCAGAAACTGAGAGCAGAACATCCCACAAGAAAGTCCTTTAGGGGCTAAACAAATATTAATACCTTTCATGAGGCTAATATTATACTATCCTCAGTGTACAGCAAGTATAACTAACACAAGGATTAAAATCCACATACTGTGCAGTCTTATGCCATAATCCACTTTTCCTCAGGTGTTACACTTTGGCCCTTTTCACTGCCTGCCCTTCCAAATCCCTGGATAACCTCTCGACCATGCTCCTCATGACTTCTCCTGGATTTCTCCAGGCCATGCTCAGTGACCCTGGAGCCCTCCCAGTCACACACTCTCATTTGATTAGCAGGCATCACATCACACATTTCATCCGACTCCTGCAAAGTCACAGCAGTGACAGGACTTCCAGGCAGTAGAGCTGCTTAAACTTTCTCTTGCATTTGACAAAATACCATATGCCAGGATTTCATAAAGTCAGTCATTTGCAAGTTATCCAGTCAGTTCCCAAGTCTGCTTTCCAATCTTAGAGACTGAAATCTAACAAACTGAGCAAATTTGGTCTTTCTAAGTTCCGTGCTTAACACCATGGGCAAACTTTTGCCAAAAACTAGATGCCTGAGCTAAGACAGTGCATTAAGAGAGAGGGGAAAAAACCCTCCTATTTCAAAACCCAGCACAACAAAATACTTTTGTGTTTGGTTGTGTTTTGGTTTTTTTCTTGAAAAATATGTATGATAGACTCTCATTCGAAGAAATAAAACCAAAGTTCTTGAAATATGGAAGTTTACATACAATCTTCATGAATTGGTGACATTTTTGAAAATAACAGCAAATATTTCTAAAAGGTATTTTAAGCAATTATAAATTTACTTTAGGTAATACCTCAATATAAAAAATGCTTTTTATTTGGCTTATTACTTCCTTGAATTCACATTCATCCTGATGTAGAATTACAAGGAAGAATGTAAATTAAGAGACTTGATTTTCAGAAATACCAATCGAAATAAAGTAAAAACAGGGAGCTGTGTCTAAGTGTAGGACCTGCTTACACAGATTTCCACAGCAAAAAGCTATCATAAATGAATCTGAAACAGTTTTCTCCTCATGAAATAACAGAACCAAGTACTGACAGGAATCCACACACTTGTCACAAACTTCTCTTGGGAAGCTTGCCATAAATGCCTGTGCAATTCTAGGAGCAGGTAAGAGTAAACAGCAAATAAGAACATTCTGCCACTGCTCGATTCCCTTAAATATATCCTGAGCTTTTAAATTTTTTTCCTTATCTGGCACATAACCGAGAATATTCTCCAAATTACCTTTTCACACAATTAGAGTTTTCTGCCAGGGTACATGAAGATTTCTAAAGAACGACAGTGGTGCTGTGTACAGACATCAGGGCTGCAGGAGCACCTTCTTATCACTGCAACAATCTCAGAGTATGCTACGGGGTTTTTTGTGCTGGTGACTTTCATATTGCATCAACCCAAGTGTATAAAAATACTGAACATTACAAAATGTAGTATTAACATCAAAGCAAAACTGCTCTGCTCAGTAAATTTTAGAAGTTCAAAATGGTTATATTTTTTGAAAACATTACTCAATAAGGGAAACCTTAAAAGTTCCTCGATGTTTCAAGTTGGAGTTTTCCCTAGTGTCTCCTGATATGCAATGAATCTTCTCAAATTCATCCTCACATTGTCAAGAACACACAGTTGATCTGTACTACATTGTCCTTTGCCTTCTTTTCGCATCTGTAAAACCAAAAAAAAGTACATGCTTTACTAATGCAGAGGTTTCTCCTATTAGATCAGTTCAAGTTTACTGTAATTCCATATACAGGTCTTCTGCCAGGATATGCTACCCACAGCTTTTGAGAACTCCAAGGTGCTCATGTGCACATGGAGTGCACATGATGTATATAGGCAATTTACTATGATACATTGCTGCCTAAAACTACGTTATTGGTATGATATTTCACTCAAATATCTGAAATACACACTTCTTTTCTGCAGCTTTTTATATGGAAAACCTTGTACATCTAACCACACAACTGAAGCCCCATCAGGTATGTATTTTGTGTGTATAGTGCTTAGCTTTTAGACTACGACAGTCACTCCTCAGGCTTCATCTGATCAAAGAAACAATAGGTGGAAGGTCATTCCCTTAGGTACATCCCAAGGATGTACCTAAAATTAAAGTTTAGAATGCTGGCCTTGTTATTCTTGAAAACACAGAATACATGATCTGTTTTAACTAACCAACAGCAGAACGAAAGCATCCACCTGCAACTACAAGAAGTAAAAAACAAAAGATGTCAATGTAACTTCAGAAGAGACTTCTCTCCCACTAATGTAGCTGCACTCCTCCAGAGACACCTGAAGGATTTTTTTGCAAGTGTTTCAGAACAATGTAGTGATTTGGACATCAATAATACTGACGGTGTAATGCAGAATGTTGCAACAGAGGTGCTGTGCTATCACCTTGACAGTTCCATGAACTTTAAGGTAAGTGTATTTGCTTTCCTCTAAAGTGGAATATCAGAAAATCACAGGCTTTTTGGGTTTTCTTGCCATCTTATGAAGTTATACAATACTGCTTAATTACTTCTTCTAGGAGCCCAAATCTCAAAGCTTTAATGCACATTGTGTGTTGAGACCCTGAGCTGGCTGCACTTGATGCCTACCCTTGTTCTGAACACTGGCTGAAATTCCTTCAGTGTTGGAAGCAACTTGATCTGCACCGCCGCCTTTTCTGCTTCTTTACCATCTGCAAATACATCAAAAAGTGCATCCAAGGCTTCCCCTGCTACCACAAGAGAAGATTCCTTCATAGCAACTTCAAGAAGAAATTTTCCAATCATCTGAAATAAGAGAGAAAAATTGATTTTTTCCAACAAGGGAAAACTGAAAGAAATATCAAAATTCATATAGGTTTGCAATGCAAAGTTTGCTTTTTCACCTTTAGTGTTTCAGCTGTATCTTGTCCTTTTGCCAAGACGCTGCCAGAAATTCCAAGGATGCTCACTACGTTCACTCTAACACTGGCATTGCTGCTGTGAATACCAGCTTCACATAAAGCCAACAGCTGCTCAGGAGTCATACACTGCACAACAAGGGGAAGGGAGGGAAAGAAGGAAGACATTCACACTTTCATGGAAATTTTCCAATGTGACATTTAGCTACTCTGCTTTTCCAGAACACAGGGAAATTTATAAGAGAGAAATAAAGAGCCCTGGATTATGAAAACTACGTGAATTCTGAAAATGTAATTACCAAGAAAACAGTCAAATTCTCCCTTTCAATTTAAGGTGTTTCTTCCAGAACATAACCAACACTGTCATGAAAGTGAAGGAAAAGTTCTAAGCCCAAAGGTATTTTCACAAATTTACCTTGCTCAATAGCTGCTTCCACCCCATTATAACTTACAGCACAAAAGCTCTCATTTTTCAGTTTAAAGCCAGAAAGGACCAGCAGACCATCTAGTATTATGTCTTGTATAACAAAATGCTTCATTCTTGTATTTAGCTCACTAATTCACGTCCAACCAAGATTCTAGAAGGACAACCAGCTTCAACTAGGTGACATTAAGAAATAAAAAATGCGCATTTCTAGGTGCTAATTTACTAAGTATTTGTCATTATACCCATCTCCTAAAGATACTACCTGGATTTTCTTGTTTTGAAATATCTTTCATTTGTTTACATGTTAAGAGATAAACAAAACAGTATTACTGTAAGGTCCATGAAAAACATTAAGAGTTGATGCTATTAAATCTGTTCTGTCAGTGTCTGCACCTGCTACTTTGCACTTCATTTAAATAATTTTGTTTCAAAAACTTTCCAGCCCAATCTCACCCAAATGTGAACCTAGCAGAGCATTTGAGTTTGAAAGCTTTTACCTGGGAGATGTTCTTTGATGCCATTGTTTGTAGGAGAGCCCTCAAAGCACTGGTTACGGCTTCCAGGAATTCAGTGTCTGCAGGGAGTTCTGTCAAAGAATTGAACCCAGAGCCAAAAGTTAAACAGTAAGATGAGGGACACAGGAAGCAAACAAATACAAATGCCTTAATCCCTTAATTGTTCCTCCAGGTACTACCACAACAGGAAAAGCTAGATTTTCAGAGTAGTCTCTGTAGGTTGTAACCATCCATAGTGATTTGTTTGAATTCAGTATTAACTGCATTTGCAGGTTAGACCACAGCTGGTCCTCATTTTCAGGCACATCCCTGGTTGAAACACTTATGTGACCCAAGGTAAGGTACAAACCACTGTCATCAGAACGGCAGCTTGAAAACTGGTATAACATGGAAGCCATACTATAGGAACTGAGAAAACTACAGAAGCTGACTGTGTACTTTACCTCCTTTCTTCTGCCTTCTTAAGCAAGCTTTTTAGACACCCAGAACACTGGACTCTTTCCAATTCATATAAAGAGCATGTTTTCCGGTGGTTTAATAACATTTCAGGAATGTATGACTCAAACACTGCATTACTCTCCTAACTATGAACTCATCAATATCAGCCATCACCTTCAATGAATGTTCTGTGTTTCTTCAGGCTTTTTATTTTCCTTTAATGTGTTTTTGTTTTCTGGACCAGATGCAGAACTTTTCAATTCATGCATATCTTCTCCCTTCTCATGTAAGCAACTAGATCTTTATGCCTCTTTTCCACGCCGTAAACCACAGGATTCCTTCTAACCACATGTTGGTATTTTATCAACTCTATCTGGCAGTATCCATTACATAGCATTTAACCATTAAAAAATGGGCCCAGGCCATTAAATCAATTTTATTAGCACCATCTGTCCTCAGCTTACAACTTCTCCAGCTTGATCTGAGAACTTTCTGACTATTGCAAAGATTAACAGGTAGACTCAAAATCTTGGAAGTTGTCTCTTCAAGCATGAGACAAGTATTTTATGTGAACATCCTTGCGTATGTCTCATATGTATTTTCATTTCTGCATTTTAGTTTTTTGAGAACTGCACTTTCAGTAATAATGTTTTCATAGACTGATCACATGCTTTTAAAGGCATTGAAAAAAAAGTGTGTTCTGCAGGCAGATGCATTTTCAAGCATTAATGCCCATGTCATTCTATACACTACAGCAAAGAACTACAAATGCTGCATCTGTGGCTACAAAGGGAGACATTTGAAGGAAGGGAAGGAAACTGAGCTTCTCGATCTTCTAAGAGACAAGAAATGACAAAGCCACACATATGCTCAACTTCAACAGATCTGTCTTAGGGAAAACGTTTTCTGACAAATTTGAGAATTGGCAGGCTTTTCCAGCCTCTAAGAATATCTCTTCTTTTTTGAAAAGCCATCACCACTTACCTTAAAACAAAAACAGATTATCAGAATAGTCTGCATGAAGCCGAGCCTGTCAGGGACCCAGTTTGGAACCAGCTGGGGGTTTCTTGCCTCTTTTTCTTTTTTTTTTTTTTTTTTTTTAAAATCGCAGTTCAGCTTCTCTCATGTCAGTAACAGAGATCACAGTGTAAATGGTCCAACAGGATTATTGAAATGATGCTGATCTCACGTATAAGATTACAGGAAGTGGCTGGAAATGCTAACTGCTGCATAGACCATCCAATAATAGTGATACTAGCAGATGTATGGGGAAACCTTCACAGTATCTCTATGAAATAATGCACCTTGGAGGAACTATAGTGGATACATTCTAGTGTTTACCAGGATACATCACAGAATCAATGAGGCTGGAAAAAACCTATGAAATCATCGAGTCCAACCTATGACTGAATATCACCTTGTCAACTAGACCACGGCACTCAGTGCCACATCCAGTCTTTCCTTAAGCACTTCCATGGACAGTGACTCCACCACCTCCTCGGGCAGTCCATTCCAATTCTAAATATATTAAATATATATATAGATGATATTCTAAAATAGTATAAAATTTATTACCTTCTCCATTGAAATCAAACCAGAACCAGAACAGGAAGTGGAGCAGCTTTAATATTTAGTCATAAAAACTTCGCACATTTTCTTACTACAAATATCCTTTCAATAAAGCTATGCCATCATAAGCATAAAGCATGTTCTGGAGACAAGGTGGCTGCTCTCTTTCCTACTGTAACAACCATGTACTTTTTTTTTTTTTGCAACAACCATCTTTGACATAATTTCATAAGATTCCTAGAAAAAAATTACGCGAAAGACTGTGCTAGACATCCTCTTTTTAACATTTCTTTAGGCAAGCTAGTCAGCATATTTAAAAAGAAAATGCCCTATCTTCTTCATGGCTTGTGTGATTGATGAAGAACTATTATCCCAAATATGATCAAGCAAACAGTTCTGGTCTCAGCAAGGCAGGATTCATCCACTAAGTGATTTTTTGTGTGGACCCAGATGTAAAGCAGATTCTTGCATTAAGAGCAGACTTGCTCAAGGTGCAGTTTGCATAAACACATCTTATCAGGATATACTGTTTACCAGCACATTTCCAACAGTCAGTATCCTTATACTGAAAGACCAAAGAAATACAGTTAGTAATAAAATGGCATTAGAACTACCTTATATGATCAGCAAAGGGGATCAGCAAGTCCCCTGTACTAAACATCTTACCTGTTTTAGAAAAGATCAACTGTGAGAGATGCTGTGCAAGGGACTGAAGTGCTGAAGCTCCTCCAAGACAATCCACATCTGACACTAACAAAATGCTATGAAGACATGTTAAAGCTCTACACTGCACTGCATTCAGTCTGAAACAAATAAACAAAAAAAGCATTTAGCAAATCTCTTTGAAAACACATACTGAAATATAAAGAAGAATCTTCGATTAATTAAGGCTGTGATCTGGTGTGCAGTTTACAAAAGCATTTTTATCTCTTTATTCAAAATCCTATATCAGATCTGCCAGTATCCAGATCTTGACAGAAACCCAAAGATGGAAAATCCTTCTAAGAGTTCTAAGACAACTGAATATAAATGAAAAATAGTAAGAGAGACAATGAAATTCCTACTTTTTAATTAATGGTTTCCAAGACGGATTGTGCATACAGATGTCTAGAGCAACACTGTTCGGAAAAGCAGTTTTTTCAAGAATCTGAGGAGGGGAAAAAGAAATGTTTAGCAATAAAGCCTTCATTTTTTTATTTTTTGTTATAGTGTGTTTGGAAGGAAGACTGAAATTTTATCTTGATTCAAACAGATACTTCAAACTATGTATTTCAAAGTTTTCCAGGCAGCAAGTGTCTCACCTGCTAAAACCATCAGAATTTTACTCAATCACTCAAATGGTGCAATTATACCCTGAGTTTAGCATAGCATATTTAAGGTATCCAACTCTACTGAACAACAGGTGATTTTCTAGGTTTCTGCTATTCTTTCTTATTTGGCTCTTTCTTCTTACAGATTCCACTACAGAATTTTCAGATAGCTGCAAGTGTAGAAGGCCTTGCCATGAAACTCCTGTTATTAAGTACAAAAAGCCTTCAAAGTTTTCATCTTGCACCTTGATGTCTTGGGTTGGAATTCTACAATGCTGCTGAACCAGCACAGTAACAATTCAAATAACAAACTCCATCTTTACAACCCCAAATAAAAATGAGCAAAACAACTCTGAAACAAAAACACCTAAATTCCTGTCACTGTCAAATACTGTACTTCAGACACTTTGTATAAAACAGGGTAAGAGGAACTTGCACTTCTTCAGTGCTGACTGTTGCCATTCACACGTTACTTCCACCTCATTTAGTTAATATAGAAATCTGGCAGTCGTGCTTCATCAAGGTTTCCTCTCTTTTTGTAGGTAATCTTTTTCATGTCCAAATCAAGGAATAACAACCTTTGTATTTTGGAAAAAAACCCAAACAAATTAAAAGAAACTCCACCAGCTTTCTGAAACACATGGCTCTTCTATTCCAACTTACATGAATTATTTAGGTCAAGAGAGCTCATGCAATGATGCACCATCTCTAGGCCAAAAAGAGTGAAGCTAGACTCATTAAAAAAATATTCCTTTCCTCCACGTGGACTGGGATAATTTCCTTGCCTAACCTGGGATACAAAGCAGGAATTAGGGGAAGACTGTGCCATGTGTTGGAAATAAAATAGAAGACACTACCTTCTTTGGAATGAGGTTGTTCAGAAACGCTGAGTGAACCTCATCAGAGAGGCACAGGGGTGTCATCAGCAGCCCCCCTCCTTCATTGTATGAGTTTTCCATGAACAAGTCACTTTCGTCACTGCTGGACAGTTCTTCCCACTCATCATCAGAGGGATCTGAGAACACAAGACAGACTTGTAAATGTAAAAGCCCTCACGCAATATGTTTCCTACTTCTCAGTTGTACTCGACTCCACCTCTCAGTTTAGGAATCTTTAAGCTCTTGGGCTCTATGAACTCCTCACAAATCAAGTGCCACTAAGCCACAGTCCTAAATATTTTATTAAAAGTGTATTTTATATTCACTCAGGCAACAAGTATTCTCAGGAGACAGGTTCTTCATACACGGGTACTTTAATCTCTGATATTAACAATGGGTCACTTTATCAAAAAGGGTATGGAAGAAACTTCATAGAGATTTACTAAGATTTTAACTTGGATTGCACCATTTCACTTTTTGAGGTAGATTCAAGCATGTGAAAACACTGGTTTAACTTCAACTGACTGCAGTTAGTAAAAAAGTTAAGGCAACTGTTTCCTCTAGCAATACTGAAAAGCCACAGACAGATATCCTTTGCCTGGGCAGTAACTGGGCTGGATGAAGATGTTACTGTCTCCACAGCAACGCCACTTGAAAGGAAACCATGACAGCAAAACAAGCCAAAGCAAGCTAAATAACCTCTGACAGTAATTTCAGGCAACATATTTTAAGTAAGTTAAGCTAGGTTTATAGTCTTAAACCTGAACTAGATTTATACTTACAGATCTGCTAGTACAGTAAGTCATGTAAGGGTAAGCACACATGGCAAGAGGAGTTGAGGTCGTATTACCTACAGGCTACTGTAAAGTGAATAATCTGTCCACAGCTAAAGCCAGTCTTGGCCTAACAAGCACAAGCTCAGTTCATCATTTATATTTAAACTGATATATCTACGTCCACAGGGTTCACACAGATTTATCTAAAGTTGCTTTAAACCTGGTTACATTTTAACTGGTGTTTACCCAAGTCCTAAGTCTACAAATTGGACTGATTCTCCTCTCTAGAAGATGAAAGCTCTGCCTGCGTATATAGGTCAGGACATTTAACTACTCTGACGAAAAAATATCAGATTCGCCCCCAAGTAATTTTGCCTGACAACACAGGTTCTGCTGAGATGTAGTAGGTACTGCAGTAACTACAGTAACAGCCACACCACCTCTGTGGCAAAAGGCAAAGTCACTTAAAATACAGCAAGAAAGATCTAAATTAATGCATTTCACCTGTATTGTGCAGAAATTAAGAATTTATTTGAAGGTCATGGCTATTGTTTATCTGATGCAAAGTAACTCATTGAGCTGCAGCAACTTGACCACACAGGCATCTTCTGTTACTTATGGTAATCTCCAATTAATTCTGCAGCCATAATATGGTGGTGTTAACAGCCTTTGCGTGAGAAAATGGTTGGCTTTTATTCTTTACCAGGCCATGGCAGCAAGAAACATGAAAACAAAGCAGACATCCCCTGAAGTCTCTTGCCTCTTGCAGAAAAGTTCCATGTGAATCTTTTTAAAGCAAACAAAAATCTCCTTTGAAAATTAAATGATAAGGATATGAGCTGACAATGCAACTCAGCAACAACAAAGACAGCAGTGACCAGGGCAGAGCGGGAACTGGGATCTAGAACACTGGCCTGTAACTATGATCAGGTTTCTTGTAATGTTCTGGGAAACATAGAGGCATTTCCAATGGCAATCCCATCTTAACTAGCACTGGTAACCTCTGAACTACAGACTGGACAGCAGTGCTGGAGTCTCCTGGCTCCCTGCCCATGTCCCCATCAAGGGGAGACCACTCTGCTTCTCCCAACGCCGGTCAGTGCTCAGTCAAACACATCTCTTGCCAGCATGGTTATTTCCCTCAGCTCTGTAGCAAGCCAAGTGTTTGTATGAACTCAGTATAATGGCTAAAGCTATTTTAGTCCTCAAATAACTTGAAAATTAAATGAACAGCTGCTTCTGGATTCCTCTTAATTTCTACAGCCTATGTTTCTGTCTGCCCATGAATGGGTAAAGCACTGCAGTGAAATACAACACAATCAACCTTACATTACACTGAGTGAATGGCAGAATATGCAGCTTATCCACAAGAGATTTTCCAATTAAAGGGGAAAGCTTATGAATTACAGCTCATTAGATGAGAAACACAGTAATGAAAGGAGCTTCATACACTAGGTACAGAATTTCCTTGTGCTGTAAGAGAAAAAAAAAATCACCATTGGGAATAACTGGGTATTACTGTGGATTTTATTAGAACCTGAAAGTTTTACTCAGTGATCTCCTAGAAAATCACTTCTGCATCATGATAAAACTGTAACAGTAACAGAAGTTTTCAGGTGTTGGAGGGTTTAGGGGATTAATTTTGTTTGGTTGTTGGCGTTTTTAAATAGAATTTGATAATATCTCATTTGTTTTCCTGAAGATTAGGAGAAAAGCTATCAAACCTGAGTATCAGAGTTCCTAAAAGTTATAGAATATCTATTTCCTACTCCCCTCCAAACAACAGCCTTTCTTCCTCCTCAAAAAAGCTCATAAAGGCAGAACTCTGAAAGCCTAAATCTACATTGTTGCCAGAGTTGCACGCAAAAGCTGTATCTACTCCTAATTTTGCAACATTTCTAGTATCAACACTAAATCAAAGCTACAAGATTTATCTGCTTTTAAAAAAAAATCAATGGCCCCATCCTGCAATAAGATTCACACACATATTGTATCAGAAGAACACTCAGACCACACTCTAACTGAACCAAGATTTTGCTGTAACACTTCAGGAAATATCTCTTTGCCGCAAGTGCTTTTTTGTTTGTAATTAAATGTTGGCACATAGTAGTACCATGCAAAAAAAAAAACCATTTAAGTCTCATAAATAACTTAAATGAAAAAAAACACTTGAAATAGTAATAGAAATTACAATCTAATCTGCCCCCCAGACGAGGATATCAGGGACAATACGACTGTGTGCATTTGCCTTTAAAAGCCAAGATGATTAAATGTGAGCTGTTCAAAAACAAAACACACCACAACGCTTGCAATGAGAGATTCCTACAAACCTTCACTGCAGCACATATTAACAATGATTTCCAGAGCAGTCTGCTGAGCCGTCAGTAAAGCTGTCACTTCTTTCAGTTCCCACTTATCAGACTAAAAAATAAAAACACGAACCAAATTTGATTTTGTAAAACAACATTTAAGTGCAACTTAAATTACCCAAGCTGTCAGCTAAAAATATAGTCCAGTCATTTTCTCTTCTCATTCTACACCAAAACTCGAAAAAATAAAAACCACAAAACCAAGAGGTGTAAGCTACATTTCTGTTGGATGTTCCAGAGCAAATTTTATCTTCAAGAAATGCCACCTGCACTAAAGCTGTAAGAGAAACAGTTACCTAAAGCTCTAACAGAAACATGTATTCCTGTTACCCTTTTCCCATACACAACAGTGCACGCATCTGTAAACCTCTCAGCCACCTCCACTCATGACTGAATGGTTACAAATCCCACTTGCCATAACCAGAAATTAAAATTCCTGCAGTAGCTGCAGGTAGAAGTGTCAGGTAAGCCTATACCTTCCACTGGAGGAAAACCATGGAAATGTACCTTCCTGATGTGCTGTGCAATTTGGTCACATTGGAACAAGTTGTGTTGAAATTTTCCATGCTCATCTTTGAGGTTTTAGCTAAAATAGCCAAGTTGTTTGGGAACCAGTATTAGTAACACTCATAGGTCATTTCCTCTGGCCAGTGCTGAGTCAAGACTAGTCCAACGCTCAGCCAAAAGCACCAAGCCCAACAGCCAGCCAGAAACACTTACTGGAAGTAAATCTGAAACATCATTTTCCCTCCTGAGTTTTCCTTTTGGTATTTCTTCCATGTTATCATCTTCACTCAAAACACAGTTGTCCACCACATCACTCATGTTTTCCTCTGTTTCTGCTTCCACAGCAAGTTTTAACCTGTTTTTTTCAGCTTCATTCATACGAATAATTGTTTCACCAGCGTCTATTGCTAATGATTCTGAGAAAATCTTCAGGATTGCATTAACCATGCTTCCCAGGCTGCCTGGTGGAATGGTATCCTTGATATTCCAAATAGTGCCTAAACATGAGATAACCAAAATATGAAAATTACTAAAGTACTCAATTCTCTGTAATAGCCATACATTTTGTAAGAACACAGCCTGCGCTACTTAAAATAAGCAGTGATTATATTCAGTCTTTGTTCTACAGATTTGTATTTTTTTCTGTTTAGCATTTCATATAGTCATCTGTAATAACTATGTTACGCCCACATCTTAAGCTCAAGTAAATTTCAGCACATAAATAATTACAGAATATTTATGTGGCCTGGCCTTGGTGTTACTTTGTACCTGATAACAAAATCATACGAGAGAACCATTTTCTAAGGATTGTCAATGTTAATTTATTACACTCCAGTATCAAAAATCACCACAGTTAAGCATCTGAGGCAGCAAGAAGAATGCAAGGTAGAGAATATGAGTTAAAAATCTACACCTATTAAGATCAAAACTACTCCTGTACCACTTATTATTGACTTATTTCACTGTTGAAAATCAAAAGAGCAGCTAAAATGCTTTATCACCCTGATCAGGGACTGAATTTAGAGTCAAGCATTTAAGACAGTTTCAAAACCAGTTGTAAATATCTGTTTGCAGTTCCAAAAGGCAGATATAACCTCATGAACCATCTGCATAGGCTCTGACAATCAGATGTCCAGACTTCAGCAGAGAGGACTAAGCTCTCTGTCCTTCCCACCCCCCCTTACCTGCCGTGCTCCCCATCCCAGAGCAGTGAACACCCTCGAGCCCCGTACCTGCTATCAGTGTTCTCAGAAGGACATGCTTCATTGTGCTCTCTGGACACAACAGCACTGTTTCCAATACTTGTTGTGCAGAAGCATTAAATGAAGAAAGGAGGTCTGGATTATCTTCTGTCACTGCCTGCAAGCAGTTTGCTACACCAAACAATAAGAACAAACATAATTAATAAACCCAACAGTAGCTTTCACTCTCCTACTGAAAAAGCATTTTTACTGCAAGCTGGAGTAATGAAACACTGACAGGAAAAAAAAAAATTTCATGCAGCATCACGTTGTAATGGTACAACACTGTCTCTCACAATCTGTGTTTTAGATTAAAAGACACTCTATGGCAAACCCGTACACAAAACAGATGAGGACAATAACACATCAGACATGGAACCGGCTGTATTAATTTCAGCTACTCAAAAATAGATTTCTCCTTTGTATACTGAGTAGTGACAACATAAAAATGTTGGGATCACACACACCTGTATGACCATTCTAAGACTACAACAACAAACTACTAATAAAAACACACTGAAAGTGACAGGAGTTGTTTGGGTTTTTTCAGATGGACTATGTCCTTTGCTCAACAAATTAAACCCTCCATTACCAAAACCTGCAAACAAAACTAAAAACACAGCCCCCCTCTAGAGCCTTCTTTCCACAAAATTTTTCCTCCCATGTAACCACCAATAAGTCATTCTCCTTCGGACTGAAAACAAGCACAACAGATACAAACTTCTGAATTATGTGCTGTTCAAAAACGAATTTGAAATCTTATATTCAGTGCAAAGCTCAGCAATGCTAAGGCAGGTGCATTATGCAATGCCTGTAACATCAATGTTACATTTATATAGTAAAGAAAAAAAATATCTTTAAGTCCTTATCTTCTCTTTTTACCACTTACCTACTGAAATAGCCAGATCCACATTTGTGGAAAATTTCTTCATGTAATGTAACACAGCCTCCAGACACCCTTCTTTATTGAATATGTACACAGCAGTATTGTTGCATTCACTATTGTATGAAAAAGATTAATTAAAACACTTTTCCCAGGAAAAAAAAAATACTGTAAAAACATTTTAAGTACCCCATACTCACTATTACTCACAGTTGTAAAAACTATGTAAGAATTATGCATTAGTCAAAGAGCTATTCTTCACTACTGAGGTTATGATCAACTCTATATAAATATGCTGAAAGAGAAACTGCAAAATCCTGGACACAGTTGGCTTCTGCCAGCTGCTTCCTCACACCCAGTGTTTGGGAGTTTATTTGGGAGCCTAAATACAGATGTGGACAGGTCCAGCCAGAGAGTGAAAGGCAGCTGCAGGCTACAAGCCAGCCCAAGGCTTTCTACAGTCATAGAAAACTTCACCCACAAACCCAGTGACTAGAGCTGCTGCCTCTTGCATCAATATTTATTCACTCCATAAAATGACTGCTCTTATCATTCAGACATGCATTTACTTTAATTACCTAACAGTGGGATCTGTTTCTTCAAGTTTTCCACTGCTATTCCCTTTTTTAAACTAATATATTGATACAAGACTAATTCAAACTAAAAAAGCATGGGAGCTAACCAGCTACAAGGATCTTCAAGTATTTACTTTTGGAAATATTATGTCTCAGCACCAATGCCAGCCCCAACTTTATCAGTACCAAACTTAGCAATGAAGTCAGTAGTTCATTGCCACAAAGTTCAAAATACAGAGGCAATTTATGTCACACTTAATGATTATAGTTCCTTTTCCAAAGCAGTGACTACAAAAGCCAAAAAAAAAAAAAAAATGAACACAACATTGTTGAGTCAGAGTCACAAAGGGTCATGTATTCTGTGCAAGGTGCTGAGCAAGCAGCTTCTCTACTGTTCTAGACTCCAATCCCTAAAAAAAAAAAAAATCCCAATTTAGAAATGTCCTAGTTAGGACAGCTGAGATCAGTTCATCATGGTATGGGTGTAACCCAAAACTGTGTATTCTATAGCCTTCCAGGCCATTTCCCAGAAACTATTGTCAAATGACTATTCGCACCCTCTGCCCATAGAGCCTGACTCCTCAGGCTATAAACTAGGTGTTAAGAGGCCTGTGAGACAGGAGGATGCTCTTGTCCTCACACCCTTTGTGGAACTCCCCGCCCTGAGGTAAGCACTGAGCATTGCTGCCTGAACTGGAGGAGATATAATCTTGGAGTTTTGGAACATTTTTCAACCCCTCGTGGGATCCAGAGGAAGGCTGCAGCTCATCGCTCTCAACCAGACTTAGACCATCACTGGACTGCAATCACCACTTTTGACCAGACTGCAACAGCTCTCCCACCAGCAGGTTCTTCCCCTCTCCCTTTACTTTGGACTCAAGGAACACCACTTTGTTCATGCCCCAGGGTACTGGGTTATACATTTGGGTTTTGTGGGTTAAGACCAATTGTTTGTTTGTATGATTGTACTTACTGTATTATTGTAATAAATTGTTATTCTGACTTATAATCTCTCCTTTGAGTTGAGTTCATTTCCCCTGCTGGTTAACTCTTAAACCAGCACAAAATAAGGCCTCAAGCCAGCAGCCATATCACACAGGCACAGAGGCAACTCCACTGAAACACTGTACAACACTAAAGAAAATCCTGTATGCACCAAGGTGTATAACGATGTGGAGCTGCTAAAACATGAAGAGAAACAACACAAAATTCAAGAAAAACTTTCAGAATAAGTTTGTATCACTTCAATGTTCATAGTCATTTCTGTATTAAGTGTTGCCATTTCTCTTCCTTCACCTGGTGTTTCCAATGTAAACTATTAATTGAACAATTCACATTATTTCTCACATAATTAAGTAGATTTGTATCAGTGTCTCAGTAACTAAGGGATAGTTGGTCCAAATATTTAATATTAGCTTTTGGGATGACCTGTAGAGGGAGGAAGTAGTATAAGAAGTCCTCATATTCCCAGAGCACCGGAGTCCACTGATCAGAATTTAATTTTCTCCATCTCTCATCACACAGTAAGGATCTACAGGAACTGCATGCAAGACACCACAACCCAAACTGCATCTCAGACTGTGACAGAACATGTCCAGAAAACAAAATCAGAACTCAGGGTGAACAACCAACAGAAAAAAAATTTGCCACTCTCCTAACACTAATGACCAACTTAATGGACCTTCAGAATCCTTAATTTAAAAAAGTAATTCATGGCAGAAGATAAACCTGTATTTCAGATCAGATTAGGGCTCACCATTACTAAAGGAAGGCACACGTAGGAGCAACACAATCAGAAATCAGAATCAGCAACTGGATACATCTTCCCATGCCAGGACAGTAATTTCTTTTCTGCCTCAATCACCAGGCTGCTTTTCAGGAATAATTTAATTTAGCTCTTTTAAAAGCCCTGGATTTAAACAGCACTTACCATATATTCCACAGCAAATTAATAGCTTCATTGGCTATGTCTTCAACATAATTTTTGTTTGTCTCTCTGCATTTCTTTGGAGAGAGTTGGTTAGCATCTAGCTCAGTGCTACACTGCAACGAAACAAGAGAACCAGGGTTGGGAAACAAGCCACAGTGTTTATTACCAGAAAACCTGATTAGTTTCCTATTCTCTAAGAAAATTTACCTACAATGGAATTGAATCGCTGGTAACTTTTCTCTTGTAGAAAGACTCTTATACTACTCGCTTTGCATTCAGTAGTTTTTAGAAGCATTTTTTAATTAAAAAAAACCAACTTGACAGTTTTAGAACCCTAAGTGCTGTTTCTTGCTAATAGTCTGTATGAAACTGTCAATAGCTCTTTCTAATCACAAAGATTAATTCAGCTAATATCTTGCTATGCTTTACAATAATGCTATTACTCAATTTAAAATGGGGAAGAAACATACAGAAAACGATGGTATTGCTCAAGGCTGCTCATACAAAGACAGCAGGTGACAGAATTCAATGCAATTTCCAAACTGCACTGCAACACCTGGACCAAACAAAGAACAGGTATTCAGTACAAGTTATCCTACAGTACCCAGCTGTAAACCCAAGCTTTCATTTACATGGAATTGCTCACCAAAAAAATCTCACTAGAATAATGTTGCAACATAAATGTTGGACCTGGATTTTGACTGACACAATAAATTGGTCTTGACTGAAGCTCCAGACCCAAAATCTCCAGACCTTTCATGCAAAAATCATCCCAGGGTGCAAGCCTCACCAAAGACCAAATTTCACACTCACACAGTGGTGTGAAATCTCTGGAATAATTTTTGTACCATTAAATCTATTGAAAATCCTTTTAAAAGATCTTTCAAATATCTTAATAATAGCTAAAAAAATTGAACTATTTTTGTAAGTGGGATAATTCAATGGATAGATGAGTTTTAAAATCAGAATAAACACACCTCTTTCAGAAGTGCAACAAGGGGTGTCATAATGTCACTTGTCACCATGTCATCACAGACTTCAAATCCTCCACAAGCACTTAGATTTCTGGGGAAAACAAAAAAATGCTTTGGATCAGATACAATACTTTCCAGGAATGTTTAAAAAACCCCATGTATTCTATATTCTCATCTAAAGATTGTGGTACTTTTTGTTTTAAAATCAATTTGCTCAATCAGTAACTTTAGTCTTCTATCTCCCTAACACAAAAGAATAACTTTGGTGGTAGGAAAAGAATATTTTCACTTACTTGTCAAGTGTAACAAGAAGGCTTATGGGTACTAAAACATCAAGACACAAAATGCCATATGAACTGCATTCAAGTTCTCTATATTTCTTCATAAAGCCATATATTTCCAGCATAAAGCCTGCTGCTGACATTAGAGTCTCATGGAGCAAGAAAAGCCCCTCTCTTGCAGACTTCAGCTGATGTGGGTGTACCTACTGAGGTTGGAGTTAAAGCAAGACAGGCTGGCATTCAAGTTCATGGCTGTCAACAACAAAACCCTACTGTTTTCTCTCCTGTTCCAGGATTACCCCATTCCAACTGCTTACCGGAGAGCACCTGCAGCTGTTTCCCGAACAGCTAAGCTGTGATCCATCAGCAACGGCCCCAAACACCGCACAACGTCCCTCTGCAGGAAGGCTGGGATGACGTGCTTCTGCTGCAACAGCTTGGAAATACTGGCACAGGCATACTCTCTCACTTCAGCACTGGGATGCTGCAGCTGGGGAGACACAAACAGGGCAGATCGGGTTGTGGGAAAAGGTAGTTGGAAGTTTTACTGATCCTGAATGGAAGCAAGAGCTTTTAACTTCCATGAACCTTTACAAATCTTTGCCTGGGTTGTGTGTGTTAACTATATGACTAGATAAATACTATTCTGGGTGTTTAACAAGAGAGCCACAGTCCAGACACAGATTTGACACTAGCTGGCACTGGTGAGACCCCATATCTACATTCAGTTACCATGTATTTAAAAGAAAAAAGGACAAATGGGGGCAATACAAAACACATGCTACCATAAAGAAAAACAGAAGAATCAAAAAATAATAATAAAAAAATATAGCCTTTAGATTAAAAGTATCTGCTTAACAACAAGAAGCAAGTGTTCTCTACATCCATAAGATGATGCTGACTTGTGCTGTAACAGGGTTTTAGGTGAGATATAAGAATTGCAGATCATAAAAATAATAGAACAGCAGAAGTGTATATCCTGGAAGGTGACAGAGTTTGTTGAAAATCTAACAGAAAATGTAAACATCTGATGAAGAGCAGAGCAGAAGAGTGGTACATCACATCCTACCTCACTGACACTGACAGAATCCCTCAGCTCATCCTCATCTGAGCCTTTATATACTTTCTCTCAATTTTAAGACTAAACAGGTCAGTCGAGAAGAGTAACCAAGCAGTGATTTGTTCAGTGAGTTCAGTTCCATAAAGTGAACAATGGGGATTCAATCACTCGAGGGGAAAACAGATTTTTGCTTCTGGTTCTAAAGTCACGTGTGCAGGAGGAGGTTTCCATCCCTTTTCATCTGCAATGCTTAACTCAGAACCAGGACTGTGGCCTAAAAGTGGCCAAACCCAGTCTTTTTTCCGCATTTTCCATCAGTTATCCCTCACGTATGGCTCACGAACTCATCGCTCTGGCCACCTGTAGAACTCTCCAGCCGCGCCGGGGGGGTGGGGGGGGCGAACAAACCCAAGCACCGCAGGAGCCGCCTCCCAGCCCCTCCTGGGCCGAGGGGCGCGGCGCTGCCTCCCGCCCGCCGCAGAAGGCGAGACCGGGGCGCGGGTCCCGGCGCTGCCGGTGCCGCCCCGCCGAGCCGCGGGCGCAGCCGTGACGCCGGGAGAGCGACGGGCGGCGGGAGAGAGGGGCGGCGGCCCCGCCGGGCTGTTCGGCTTCTCCCCGCCGGGGGGGCGGCTCCGCGCCCGGCCCCGCGCCCGACACCGCCGGGGGCGAGCCCAGACCTCTCCCCCCACACCCGCTGCCCCGAGAGAGGGTCGCGCCCCGCCCGCACCTTGTCCAGCAGCTCCGCCGCCGGCTCCTCCTCGGGGCCGGGCTCGCCTCGCTGGTGCTGCCCGGTGCCGGCGGGGCCGAGAGCCGGCCGGCGGAACCGCCGCGCTCGGCTCTTGCCCATGGCTGCGCTCGGCGCCGGCGCGCCCACGTGTGCGGCCCCGCGCAGGCGCTGCCCCCGCCCCGCGCCCCTCCCGCAGCCGGCGGGGCCTCACGGGCACGGCCCCGCACAGCCCGCACCCCGAACCGGCACCGGCCTCACGGGCACGGCCCCGCACATCCCGCACCCCGAACCGGCACCGGCCTCACGGGCACGGCCCCGCACATCCCGCACCCCGAACCGGCACCGGCCTCACGGGCACGGCCCAGCACAGCCCGCACCCCGAACCGGCACCGGCCTCACGGGCACGGCCCCGCACAGCCCGCACCGAACCGGCACCGGCAGCGTCCCGCTCCTGCCCGGGGATGCTCTGCATATTTCCCCAGGTCAACAACTCGGTAAACGTCACATGAAACAGTTTCCTCCAAGAGCACTTACAGAGGCAGGATTGACCTGTAGGGTGGAAACCTGGCAGGGGGTTTCTCTCTGATGTAGTTCTTATAATCTAAGATACTGACATCAAATACAGGAAAAGTTGGTCCGGTATGAAAGTTAGACTTCAGCTACAAATTGTCTTTTAAGTTCTTCTGCGTTCGCTGGAGATCTGCGTTTGCACGGTACAAAAGAAGATAACGTTTTGTTTATACAAAGGATTTATTTTATACACATTTACCTACAAAATATACAGCAGTTAAAAATAATGCATGGGCAGAACCATTACTGGAAAAAAAATCCAGAAGACAATTCTTAATGTCTTAACTGACAAAGTTACATCAATAGGCTGCCTTTAAAAGCCAGTCTACCCTGTAGGAGGAGTTACTGAAGTTGCAAGAGCTTTGCAGTTAGAGTCAATTTAAGGAGTTCAAAACAATTAAAAAGGCACCTTGAACAACTTAAACTTAAAACTTTATAGTTTTAGCTATTCAAAAGTTACACTTTAAGCATATTTCATCCACACCTCGTTGTTAACACTCTGAATAACGACTTTTGTTATTTTCTTGTGGCACTCTTTATATTTTCTTTACCAAATCTGAAATTATACATTTGCAATACTATTTTCATGTTCTGACTATCACAGCATAAAAATCCCCTCAGAATGTTCGGGTGGACTTCAGATACAGTACAACCTCGCAACCAGGAAGATACAAGCATGTTTAAGACAACTTTTAAAATATTAAAATCTTAAAATAGCAGTGTTTTGAACCAGATCAAACAAGGAACTATGTATGACCACAAGGAAAGTGGCTGGTGCACTATATACACAACTCGACAAATGTGATCCTTGATATATTTATGAAGTTCTTAAACAGTAAGACCAGTTTTCTCCAGCACAGACAGACCGTCTTCCTGCGAGCCTTTTAACCAGTTCCAAAAAGAGTGACCAGGAGACAAGGACAGCTGTAATGAGGAAGTGTGCTAATAAAACATCAGGAGACTGGGAAGTGTTCCTCTCAATACGGTTCACGGGAACAAAGGAATCCATAAAGCAAATATTACTTCTTTTCCTGAACATGGGCATTGATGTGCTATTTACAATAGCTTACAAAGACATGTAACACAAATGAGGTTTCATTTTCAAGTTCAACTTCATTGCCGATTAACATACTTCACTTGTATGTTCTGTTCTAGCTGAAGTAAAAAAGTGAGACTAATACTGAAAAAGAGGTAATCAGAAGTAGCAAAAGCACTGATAATGTGATAACAAAGAATTTGGATAAATATTCAAGAAAGGAATATTGCACACTTTCACTGTCAACTGTGTTAAGACTTTCACTCCCAGGCAGTGACAACCAGTCCCATTTGTTTTTTTGCTGTCATACTACCTTAAAAAAGGTCATTTTTGGTTTCCATGGCAGTGGAAAAAACTGAATGAAGACAGCCCCTATTGAACGTGAGGCCTAGGTTTCAATATTAACTTTCCAGTCTGCAAGAGAGACAAAAAAAAAAAAAAGAGTTTAAACCCTGAAAGTTGAGCCCAACAATCGCATTTCAAGTTCAATATTACAGGCTGAGTTTAAAACAACACAGAGAACAATACTGAGCATTTCACATTCCAGTGTTACAGGCACACAGAATTTGTTGAGGTGTATACAAATGCTGTTCAGAAAAAAAAACGTGTGTCTTTTTTCAACTGTTTGCCTTTTTCTTTTTTTTATACAAACAAGGTTTAGGCAATGAACCACCAACACTTACATCATCACAGGACATATTATATTCTGCCAAAACAGTTCGACATCGGGCTGCTATACTGTGTGCATTGTGTCAAGGAAAGCAGCTAACACTTGTACACAGAGTAAGTAAAAACTGAAACAGCAGCATTAGCACAGACTTCATGAACAGCAGTAACTACAACACTTGTAACTTGACAAACACAATTAAAGGATACATTGATGGTGCCACCACTCTTTTGTGTATTCCAGCAAAAAACAAGCCTATTAGGGTAATACAGCTAATTGTGAAAAACGGGTGATTCCAAAGTGATGTGAAAAACGACACCTAGGAAAGAAATCGGATTAGTCTCACTATATACTTTCTAAAACGTACAGAAAGTTGCTGCCTAGTTCGCTTAACTAAAAATAAAATACTGTTCCTAGCCCTCTCAAAGTAGTTGTGAACAATTCTTCCTATCAGCACTCAAGGTGCATCATTTTCGTAGGCAATGCCCCAGGACATATTCCACAATTCCAGACAGCTTGAGAGTTTTACTAAAAACTGTCTTCCAGTTTCACATAAGAACCACTTTTAGCCTTCCAGTTTTCAATATACCACTTGACTGCAGCACCAAGCTATGAAACAGAAAACATTCAGCATTAG